CTACAGGAGATAAACTGTGTAAAGATTCAAGATTGGAGTTCGTGTGCTCATTCCAGGAGGACTGCTTTACAACGAAAAACCAAGATCAGTGTTCTAAAATGCGGCCTAATGCGCCGCGTAAGCGCGCCTAAGCACGAAGCGCAGACGAAACGCCTCGCATGCAGGGTATGCGTGAAAAAATGAGGTCAACTTTTTTTCGTTGACCGCCTAGCCGCGTATAACCCACCCAGTGTGCTAAAAGGCCCAATTGATGGCACGCATTATCCCATAAAACATTTATCAACTCCATTAACGGGCTCATCAAATACATTGGCAAGCCCAATTAATCGTTGATTTAACACTGAGTAGTGCACCCTTTTATAAAGCATTATTCTCCCACTGATTTAGTCTACATCCGATGTAGGATTGGAATGGATTCTCCACTGAGAGATACTTCATTTGTGGAACTGCTAGACATTGTGACCAAGGCATGAAGTTAGAAATTGACACCGTCGCAACTTCTGCACCACCACCAGCCACCCCCTTTGTCCCTCCCCCGGCTACTCCCTTGGCTCCTCCACCAGCAACTCCATTGATTACTTGTTCCCGTCGATCCCGGTGGAAGACGCTTTGGGAAGTAGGAGGGTAATTTGAATTAGCTTCTGCTCTCAATTGAAAAGCCAATTTCATCAAGTATTCCGGCCGGAATCATTCCCCAAAGTTAATTCTATCAAATTCAACCCTCAAACATATCATAGCAAAACCTCAAAAAAATTGTTTGGGTTGTGAAGCTGGGAGTGCCAAATTCACAATGATGGAGCCAGCAAGAAGGCTTTGATTTTCTCCACTGTTTCCGCCATTTTCAGCTTCTTCATTGGACAGAGAAGTTGGGAGTGCCAGAAGGTTTTGTCACTGTGTGTCTGTGTTTGTAATTGAATTGGGATAAATAATGACCAATTGTTTATTAATAAAGGGGATGTTTGTCACTTTTCAATTAAAATCTAATTTTAAGCACTACCAAGGAGCTGTTTGGGATAAAATCTAATAAAGGGGTTGTTTGGGATAAAATCTATTTTTTTTATGATATAGTAAAAAATCTATTTTTATATATAAAAATAGATTTAATTTCTTAAAAATAATTAAAATAATATTAAAAATACGAAACGCATTATGACGCTTATTCTTCGCATTGACACGCCTAAACTTGTGATTCTTGATTCTCGATCTCGACGCATCGCAACGCATTACGCCTTTTAAAACATTAGTCAACATAAAGTAATTTTTATATTCAAACTGGCTCTTAATGCATGTTAACGCTGTCCATAGGGATTTGGAAAATGAGGAACACAGTTGTTCCCTTGCTGTTTCCGTCTGCAGGCGAAAATGGACACTAAATTTATTTACTGCTTTCTTTTCACATAATCACTTATAACTGAACTGATATACCAATCCGAAGGACTTTTGGTTGCACATTTCTAAGTAGTTAGGCAGCTAAGAAAGTTGATTTGGAAGGTGCAAAGGTTTTGGATTCTACTAATCAACTTATTACTTTATTATTGCTTTGAGTTGTGCAATTACACACACGTAATCTGATTATAGAATTGTGTTATTTGTACACAATCTTTTATACTCCCTCACATGGAGGGGGGCCCGCACACAATAAAATATTTTTGAGCCCCCTCCATGTGAGGGGATGTAAAAGATCGTGTATACCACAAAGTGTACACATAGCATTATCCTGATTATAATAGCAAGCGTTAATGGTATAATCTGCCAATCTTCGACTAGTAGTCATTGGACACCTAGCCTTTTTAGATTATGATTTATTTTGTCCTACCCAACATTTGAGATGGCACTATGTGAAAATATAGATACGATATTTTCAATACTACCATGTAAAAGTCATTTAATTAAGATTCAGGCAACTATTCCGTCTCATCCTACTCACTCACCAAACATTTCTTAACTGAGAGACACATCTCAACAAGGGCACGTCAAAACCGACTTAGAGCACAAAGTATTTTACATGCAAGCTGTAACTTAAGCACCAGATATGGAGTATTCACTTGACGGTCTTATATTCTCCAAGGCTTTACAAGAATAGCAACCAGTTACAAGGATTTGAACACAAGGCTATCTCAAATTCTCAAATAAGCTCCACACATAAGTGACGAATCACAGGAATTTTACAAACAGAACTCAAACCTTATACCTCTCTTAAAGGAAATCTCACAAGAACCAGAACCCTTGGTTTATAGAGGGAAAGATGAAGATGTGTATGAGAGAGAAGGCAGAAGGGAGAGCCACTTAGAAATACAAGGAAACGAGGAAGATGAAGAGAGAACCACTTAGAAATACAAGTCCTATTGTGCTGGAAACTAAACCAAGTAGCTCAATAGACTGCAATAACATTTCTTGTTTCTTGATTATGCTGTTGTATCCAGATTTATAATTCCATCCATTTTCATGCAGATAACAAGCATTTAACCTTTCCCTGGTCCGGGTTTGTTCCATTCTGGATTTCAAAATACTCAAGTTTGAGTCCACCAAACTTCCAGAGTTTCCTGTAAGCCAGAAACTGAAATTTTAGCTGGCATCCGAGTTTGCACTGAACACACACGCATTGACCCGCACAGGCAGTTGAAATTTTGTTTTGCTGGGTGAATATGGTAAGAAAAATGAGAAACCGTGGTTCCCGCTATATAAAGACTTTGGACTGCTCTTCAACAGGTTGACGTTTTAACATGTAATCAAAGGTCAATATTTTCTATGGAGAACCATCAATTTAAGCGTAGAAGTTTAAAAGTAAGTACCTTGACCATCACGGAATTGAGATGTAGCTTTAGGACTTATTTGTGACTTAAACCTGAAAAAACACGGATTGCTTAACTTGCAAACATAGAGTGAAATAGAAGCCATATCTGATTACACGTTGCAGTTACAAACGTAATATTTTCTTGTATATATAGCTAGGAAATGGTCTAAACTGCTGAGGCCAATATCATTCATTTCTGGTATTTTTCCATGGAATTAAAGGCCAGATGTCTACTGTATAAATCTTGAGCCGCTTACTTATGGCTATTTTCATTTCCTTATACAAGTGTCCCAACCTTTAGTGAAACCTATTAATGCTGATACACGTATGGGAGTATAATTTAGATACGTAATCGTGTATTTTAGGGTCAGAAAAAGTTGTTAGTGGTTAAGAATTGGATTGTCAA